TTAGCATTGGCTTTCTTAAAACAAACAAAATCTCATTTATCTTATGGCTTTAGCAAGGTGCTTGAAGTTAAAGGTTTTAATAAGAATTTCTTTCCTTGATATCCCAAGGGAGGAAAGTGTCTGCCAACTATCTGAAACTGAATATTTGAATAAGTATAAATGGTTTCTTTTTGTTTGTTTGCTTTAAAGAAAAATTGTTCTAGCAATGGGAGTATTTGAAATTTTCTCTCTTCCTCTTTAGTTATATTTTGACATCTATTTCTTGTCCAATTCTTTTAAAAATAAATTACACATTTTACATATAGCAACACATAAAGATTTACTTTTTAAGTATAAAGAGTATCTCAGTTTTGCCACAGCGAAGTTAGGATAGTCTCTGATAAAGATATTTAACCAGAAAAAGCCACCCCCAGTCCCACTACAGAAAACCAAACATCTACATGACAGAATCCAAGGAGTCAAGCTATTTTTTACATCTTGAGAATATGAAATATAAATTTTACATACTAGTAAAACATTTCAGGTAGATAAACTTAAATTTGATTTACCATCAAGGATCATAAAACATAGCATATATATCCAGTACTTCCTTTAAGCATACAGTATAGACTTAGCCATATATACATATGTGTATATGTACATATGTATGTATATGCATACACAAGCGTAAGATATAAATAGATGTGTCTCAGTATAAATGATACACATAGCCTATTCTATCTATGTATATTGTATTTTAGTATATATAACACTTGCTACTCTCCTCAGTGGGAAAAGCAACCAGGAAGCATATGAATCAGGATTCTACTTACATGTCTATTGTCAAGACTAATTATTATTATTTTTTATTTTCTACAAGATGATGGAGGATAGAAGTTATTGATGTCCAAGAATAAATGGGAATGTGTTTGAATTTCATATAACATTTCATAGCTCAAACCCAGTTAACACTTGATATTCTTAATCCTGTATTCAAGGCAGAAACTCTTAAAGGAATGAGCTTTTAATATTTATAAGAGAAATATGAACAGAAACCTAATTCATCAATCTGTTACCTAGTATGAATATTAGTCTTTAATTTTTACTTCTTCTTTATACTCACACTTATGGATATTAGTATAAATACATCATTATCTACATTTCCTATACATTTTTCTTTTTTATATTCTAGTAATAATTGTGGCTTTATTCAACAGGTTCAGTTAACACCCACCCACCCACATACTCTTCCCTCCATATACACAAATAATATCTATATAAAGAGCTTGTGCATCTCAAGAGGTGACATTTCTTGAAGGCACAATTTTTGTATGGTTAATATTTAAAAGATGCATAGACTTTTAGCTAAATTTTTAAATACTCATAGAGATCAAGGTGCAATTCTACTTTATGAGAAAGCTTAAAACATAATGAAGTGTATTATAATTGATTTTACTCTGTTATTTTAGGAATAAATATAGGAAATGATATCTGAAATTCTTACTGTGCTTAAAATCAGCAAATGAAGGGCAAGTTTAAGGCTTGCCTACATTTTCGTTTTGTTCAATGAGCAATTGTAGCATCCTACCCACCTACTTTCCCCTAAAAAATAAAATGCCCACAAACTCAGGATCCAAAATGGGTGAATATGTCAAATAACAATGACAACTATAGTTTAACAAGAATTGTAAGATCTTTAAATGACAGCTCAAAATATTTTATAAATCCATTTCAAATGTAAATTTTTACTATAAGCTAACAGATATTCTTTGTAGGCAAAATCAGAGAACTTGCACACTGACAAACATTCCCTAATGTTTCCATTTCTTTTTTCTTAAGGGGAATGTTTTAAAATAAATCAAAATTGGGTAAGGAATTAAACCCAGTGACAAGTTCTCATAGCAGCACAATAGTCTCATGCACAACCAAAATAAAATCCACTTGCCATCCATCATTATTGTAATTTTTCAATTTTTTCTTGGAGCACATACCTTAGTTCTATAATTCTCATAGACACGTTTCCTCTTCTTCCCTTTCCTTTTTTTTAAAAATGAAACTATTACTCTCCAATCCAGTTCAAACAGGCCCATATACCAAATTTTCATTGACAACATGAAGTATAGATTTCATGTGAGGACTTCCACAGTTCTTCCCATGGAAACATGGGAAGGAGGGATAATGAAAGTGAGAACTTGGTGTTTCATATTTATTTATCTTCTAAGGCCTATCTACAAGATATTTAAGTAGGCTTGCAAAGATTTTCTGACATGTAGCAATACAAAAAGAACTTTATCTGAAGATCAATTTTGATTACTCATCATTATCATCCTCATCATCACCACTATCACTACCATCTAGACCATCAATAACCATTATTACTATCACCAAAGTGAACATTTTTGGTCAGAATCATAGCTGACACTTGGATAACACAATTTTTGCCTATAATTTCACTGATGAAAGGAACCAACTATTCAGTGATCCAATGAAGAATTTAACAACAAAACAAAACAAATGTCTTGGTAGGTATATCCTAATTTTTCCTCATTTCCTGAAATGACTTGTATGATGTGGACTATCTTTCACTTGGAAAGATAGGGACTGAGACTGTAATTTATTTTTGGATGAGGAAATTTCCTCTCAAAATCCAGGTCTACATTTTCCCAGAAATTTATAACCTCAGAGTTTTCAAGGCTAATGATAAGAGAAGTGATCTGCTTCGTGTGATATAGCCAGTACACAGCAGGGTTGAGATTTGAACACAAGACTTCTTAGCTGCAATGCCAGCTTTCTCTCCTCTAAGCCAGACTGATTGTTTTCCCTATGAGGACTACACAAAATAAAATATTATATTCCTTCTGAACTCTGAGTACACAGTAAATAAGAGAAAGTCTTTAGTAGCCATCATTTTTTCTTACCCCCCCCAGATTTTAGACATTAAACAAATAAAGGCACAATTTAGATTATAAATAATTATGACAATAAACAGAAAAGCATCTGAATGAATCTATTATTATATTGCATGGAGTATAATAACTTTCAAAGCTTTTCCAGTTTTAGAAATACATGTCCAAATGAAGAGAGGCTGTTTAGCTTGTGGCCAAAGGAATAGTGCACTTGGGACCTAAAGACATCAGGAATTCCATTCTAGATTATGTCAATATATTAGAATTGTGACTCAGACTTACTTCCCCTGAGACTTCGGTTAGCCAGATGGAAAATGGGAATAGCAATATTTGTACTATCTATATCATAGAATAACTTAGATAATCACTATGAGATAATGTTCTTGGAAATACTGTGTAATGGCAAAGTAATACATAAATTGAAGCTATTGTTATTAGCTAAATAAGGCATGTTTACCAAAATAACCATAAAAAGAATAATACAGTCCAAGGCAAGAGAGGAAATATCCCCACCTTAAGGATTCAGTCTGACCTGTGGCCCAATTATATCACTGATTTGGTCACTGTAGTTGTACCTTGAAGAATTTTCCCTGGATGGGCTACAAAGTGAGTCTACTCCAATCAGAGTGCAATCTCAAAATGTTTTAAGCCAAAGAACATTTAATGAATGGTTTTCAATTAATTAGCATTTCTAAGGATAGCTATCAGACCATCCTCCAACCCAAATCCTATGAACAAATGTGAAATATGCAATTCACTAATCACTTGCTCAGTACCTAGAGTCTAATCCTACATTCTCTAAGCCAACCTTTCAAACATTCTGCTCTGATAACTCCCTTTTAATATTGCTTTCCTCTTTCTTTTCTCCTTCACTTTTCTCCTTTCCCTTTTTTTCCAATTTATCTGTTCCCTTCAGTTAAACTTATCATAATGATAAAAGTGGAACACATTTTAAAATGTCTACTCTATTTGTTAAATACAATTTAAAATGCCCCCATTCCCAACTTTTAAAAATCAAGTGAGTTAAGCAGCCTTTTCTATGTCTCTCCCCTCCTCCCATCCAAAGATAACAAAAATTGTTAACCTAAGTAAAAACTGCTTTTTTACTATGTGGCCATAGAAAGATCCTTGAACACTATGCATTTCAGAAGTCCTTATGGGAAAAAAAAATATCATCATCCTTAGTCTAGGGTATAGAGAACATAAACACAAAAGAATTTTCAGGTTGATAAATATACTGCGATTATCCAATATAACAAAACATTTAATAAAAATTGAATTTCTACTTCCAAAATGAAAGAACCAACTTAATTCTTGGTCAGAGGTAAGAAGGAAAAAACAAGATGCCCAGAACTGTAGGGAACTATTAGTTTCTTAAGCTTTCAAACTGGCTATTTTAATTAAATTAATTTTGAAAAGCTCTTCTGAGTTTGGAAGTGGGGGAGGGTTTCTAAAGGAGTTCAGAAAGGGTCTGATGTACTTGGGAATATGACCCACAAATATCATTAAAAAAATAACAACAACTATGTTCCTTAATACCACAAGAAAGAACACTGTAGTTAAAGACTCACCATCTCAGACAAACATTTAAATTCTTTGGTTTAAGTAAATTTTTTAAAAAGTCTAATATGCATTGCAACTGGAATAGTGCCTATACAACATTTACAGCCCAGCTAGGACATTCTTCTATTATTCCCTGTAGGCACATTTCCTTGGGCTCATTTAGAGAGCAGCATGCAACTTCTAAGCAATTTATGGTTGCCTTTTGAGTGTCAGTATGTTAATAAAGAAGACCAAAACATAGTGGCAATCCTATTACAATTAGGATAATGAGTCACAATTTTTGCTTTTGATGTTTCAGGTCTTTGAACTCTCTGAGCTTTGATTTGGTGTTTAGAAAACACTCTTACCACAGAAAACAGGGTATCTGAGAGAGAACCAACCCAATGGAGATACATTTTTGAGGGCATAGGGAATACTTTAGTCCAGAAACAAGTATATGAATTTTCTTGCTTATCTTTTTTTTTTGACAATTAATGTTTGGATGACAAATGAGTGATTCTAACTTAGAGAAATATAAAAGAAAAATGGAATTCGAAAAACCAACATTCATACCTTATTATGCGTCTGAGTTTGTCCAACTAGTATAAGGATATTTGATGAGATGATAGATAGGCAGAAGTTAATTAAGATTATTGACCTCTCAGATCGGATATACCTGTCCAAAGGGATAATTGCAAATGTTAAAATTTGAAATAGGCAGAGATTTATCTTGTACAGCTTTTAAATTCATCAATAATTAGGCCTACAGAAACATGGTCTATTACATATAAGAAAATGTTTTTAAATGCAAAATTTTACAGAGGTTTTTTTTTTTTGTGATTTAAGTATGTAATGGTATCATGTAGAATTCATGGGAATTAGAGCTGGAAGAGACCTTAGTTATCAACTAGTTCAGTCTCTTCATTTTATAGATGAGAAAATGGAGTCCAAATGGCTTTCCCAAGGGCTTAAAGCAACCAATTCAGATTGGTATCCAAGTCTGCATAATTCAAAATCACTACATGGTTAAGAATATTTTAACATATTCTAAACTATGCTTTTGAATCTACCAGTTTTCTGGAAGTCAGAGAATTAATTTAAAGGTTCACTTTTTTATGTGATTTCTATAAATACATAGTTTACTATTATGGAAATTTAAAACAAATATGATAAAATATTCTCAGCACTGCTGTGTAGATCAACCTAAAAAGAATAAATACAAATTTTGCAATGCCATTCTTAATCAAAAGTAATAGAATGATCATATATGCACATATGTATCATGTGTAATACATGTGTTATAAAAGTGTTTCAAAATATAAAATAACTGCTTTATTTTTGTGCTGTGATAGAAACCCCAAGGGGCAATTCTTTTTATACATGTAATTTTTAAAAAAGCTTTTTTTTCCTATCCAGAATTTTTAAAAAATGATAGCACTCTGAAGGCACTCTGTTCAAAAATCACCCCCAAAATATAAATGCTTGATCACTTCTTTTATTTATATATGTCCTGTGGTAACTCAGTGGATGATATTATAATGCTTTATAATAACACCTTCCACCTTTTTATGCTTTGTTGATGCTTTGTTTGCACAAGTAAATATGTTCCACAATAGGCACTGTTCTTATAGTGTGATGTTAGATATGAAACATCAGGATGCAGTGAATCGAGAATATAAAACCAAATGCTCCTTCTCCTAATTTTGTAATTGTCAAGTGACAAGCTCCAAATTTGAAGGCACATTTCAGGAGAGCAAAGTAAAAAATTACTTTTACAATTTAATGGGCATTCCATTTCTCCTCAAAACCAACCCAAATAGTTACCACCAAAATTAGACTCAGGTTTAATTACAGGGCCTTTCCACATTCACTTATGAAGAAATTATTATCATTTCAACTCTCAGGATAGTCATAAAGATTATAGATGGGAATGCATGTGTTATTTCTCATTTTCCTCTCCAATTCTTCACATGCAACGAGTTCATCCTTTATTTAGTGTCTTAGTATTTCTAAAAAAGTGTCATGTGGATTGCTTGCTTGAACAATCATCTGCCTAATTGTACCTATGTGTAGGTATGACTTAATTTGAAAGAGACCATATAATTGACAAATCAATCTTACATATTTCCTTGTTCAATTTTGCCTATATTTCCATCAGTAATTTTAAAGCCTACGAGAACCTAATTTCATATAGAAGTGGTAAAATGGATTGCTGATGGACTTACTCAGACAACAGAAAGTAGAAGTATATTCTGGATGCCTTTCAATTATGTTTGTGTACTTATGGCAGTAAATGATGACCAGCCCAAAGATAAATCCTCATTCTGCAGGAAGCGTTATTCGGGCAGCAAAAGAAGTTACTATACTACCCCACACCTGTGCCCACGAGGGATGTCTAGAGTAATTGTCTCTCCAACCACCAACCTCTAGGTCCTGAAATACTCATGATTGTTCATGCCCATATTTTCTTGGGCAGACTAAGCTACAATTTTTTTTTTTGAGAATTGCCACCATTGCTATAGATTAAAGTCCAACACTGTCAATATTTTGCTTCAATGGTCCATGGTTTCTTCATTGGGGTATTCTCTCCAATAATGCATATCATAACACACTCTGTACTTTAGTGAATGGCTTTCAAGAGGTTCTGTGACTGAAAAATTCATCAGCCTTAGTCAACCTGGTGATAAGCCTCTCTAAGGCCCACTTAAGATTGGCCCTCAGATTACAGTCATATAGTCTATATCTAGTGGTTGTGAGGTCATTTCAATTGTGTCTGACTCTTTGTGACCCCTTTCTTGGCAAAGATACTAGAGTAGTTTGCCATTTCCTTCTCCAGCTCTTTTTACAGATAAGGAAACTGAGGCAAACAAGGTTAAGAGACTTGCTCAGGGTCACACAGCTAGTAAGTGTCTGAGACCAGATTTGAATTCAGGTCTTCCTGACTCCAGGTCCATGGCTGTATCCACCACACAAGTAATTAAAGATTTATACTTCTAAAAGCTGCCCAAACACACTCTCCATGGACATAGTCTTTAAGAACCCATTGTCATTTCCACATCATAATAAAGCATTTCTGTAAGACTTCTTTGGAGGGGTGAATCCTTTACCACTAGAAAATGATGATTCCATCAGAAAACATTGCCTCAAACGTGTCCCTAAATCCTCCAAACATCTTAACTGTAGGGAAATCTTTATACATATGAACTTTAAGCAGCTCATTTATTTTGCTATGAATTAAGAGAATTAATATCCTTGACCAAGTTAACTTCATTGATCAGTCAGCCAATGAAGCATTCTTCATTAGAGAAAAAAAGAGAATGCTTAACAAAGACAAAAATGAAGATAACAAGTCTAATCAAATAGTCTTCCACTACTGAGAGCTGATAATCATTTTTGTTGGTGTTCTAGGTACCGACTGACTTGTAAAACAAACTATTGGGGACAAGGACACCATCTATGCCTGCACTATTTTCAATAATGCAAGCAATTGACAAATTAGAGATGATTCCCATACTTTTATATCATTTCACAATAGTAGTTTGGTAAATGTATTTAGGATAGAACAAATGTCAACATTGAAGTTGTGCTGCTACAATGCAATAACAAAAGTTATGGGTGCTATTATTACAATATTCTAGGCCTTAGGAAAAATCCAAAGTATTTCTTCCATTTACCACAGAATTATGTTCCAATCAATGTTATGGTACATTTTCCCCCTAATACTTCTCTTATTTTGTCTACTTATTTTATCTACTTATTGCCTCCTTTGATTTGTCCCTCTTTGATGGGAAAGAGGAAACACTATCCACCAAGGCCTTTGATAAGCAGCTGAAGCAGAGTGTTGAGAAATAAAGCTTTAAGAGAGAAGGTTAGTTTATTTGGCCCTTTCTAAATTCTTAAGTACAAAACTCAGAAATAGAGTTAACTGAGTAACTGAGAAGTTATACTGAATATTCCAATTTCATTCTTGTACTGAATGGAAAGCAAGGAACAGAGAGAGCATTATATAGACCTAAACTTGAAATCTTTTGATGCATGGATGAGGGGGAAAAAGAAAGTGTTAATTAATGGCACAACTATGCACTTAATGACCAAAGCCATTAGGACTAGAGGGAAGAGAACATTTTTAAAAGAATATGTAATGCTATATTGTCAACAACAGGTCAGCACATAATTAAGTCAGATAAACCATTCCAATTTATTGTTATAATCATTTTTTAGAATTGTAGCACAAAATAAATAAAGCAGACAGATATATAATGGGTATCAGATCCCCCAATTTACTTCTAAGCCACTGAATATTTCAATCAAGTGCATAAATAAAATACATACCTCCATAGTGCTGCATAGACAACTGCTAGGGTGATCAAGGCCAAGCAAGACAGACCACTGCCTACTATGAGTGTTACTGAAGGTGCCCCAGATGATTCCATGATCTGTAAGTCACACACGTGTGTGCACACACACACAAACAAGAAGAGAAGCATTTTATAAAAATTAAAATGATAGAGTACAAACTCAGTAAAACCAAACTACCATTTAAGAAATACCAGCAAAGACTAGTTTGTCTCTGGAACAACTTCATTGCCATAGCTTTCATCTCTCCAATGACAAATTCTATCAATTACTCCTCTCCTTCTCCAACCCCCAATATGAAGATATAAATAAGGCCTTGTGTGCTTAAAATATTTAATCATACTGTACCACCTTAATAATCTATTTTAAAACAGAGACTTGAGAATCTAACTTGATAGTCATTTACATGTTAAATCATTCTCTAGCTAAAATTTAAAGCTATATCTCTTCCTTCCAAAAATATATTCAGTAATTTCTCTATGGATATTTAATAATATTTACTCTGTTGTTGTTCATTTACTATTCATTTAACTGTTCAAAATCTAGTTCATGCTTACTTAAAATTTATCAAACTTTCTGACTTTAGCAACTTTGTCCTAAGTCAAGTATTCTTCCATTTAATTTCCCTTGGTCTCTGGGCAGCCTGGAGAAATTATATTTTCTGGGACAGGAATATATTTCATTATTTTGCCAATGAATATTATATGTGGAGTTAATTTACACAATACTAACAATAGTAGTAAAACATATGACCTTGAAAAATATCTTGTTTCTCTTTAATGCAAATAAAAGAAAGCATTTACTACCTAAGTGATTTCTGTGTTTAGAAATCAACATGGCAATAAGCAATAAGACTGCTATTGCAGAAGTATTTTTTCAGCATTGAAAGTTTGAAAGGGTACATTAAAAGATGCTGTTTCAAAGCCCTGGAGATTTAATAAAATTCTATTTCAGAGGTTATGTTCTTTCATCTATATAAGAGAGGAAGCTGGTACTCATTTAGGCCAAATTTAGGCTGAAATGTAACATTTATTGGAATTGCTATGTTCATTTCTGGAAATAATTTCTAATAATACACAAGATGAGCACATTATTTCCCATTTAAACATTACCTCACAACTCTCTGCTTTTGGAAACTATTTTCAGAAACCTCTTGTACTTATAAGGACTGATAATACTTTTTTATATTTAGTGATTTCCTGAAAACTTGATTTGATCCTCTCCCTCCCAAATATCAGAAGACAACCTAAAAATCTGTACTGAAAATATCCAATGCAGATCTGCAATGTATTTAGCTACAGTGTCTAGGATTTTCATTCCACTATCAACAGTATCCTTATAAATTCCTTGGAATAGCTTTACAATCTTAAAAAAAATAAGTTGGCAATTATTTGATTTGAAAGTTTGCAGCACATTAGCATTACAGTGAGAAAGCTTTCTCAATTCTTTACTGCAGAACATTGAAGTTAGAAGACATAAAATTGAGTAGGATTTAGTTCTATCACACCAACTGGAATTCAATTCAGTAAGCCACTGTAGCCAAGGTGGAGACGAACCTAATTTTGCCATCCTGTAATATTGTACATTCCCCCATCTAAAATCCGGTTCCCTGGAGAAACACTCCACAAAATATCCTTGTCTTTACATTAAACCGTGTTTTCCCTTTGTTACTTACTATTTCTCTAGGTTGCTGAGCCAAAATGGCGAAGGTGGAGAGACGATCACATAAGCATTTCGTATGGGATGCATCGGTAAGCACAGTTTTACATCCCTGGGTGGACCAGGTTCCCAAAGACTCGTTCCTGCAAAGGTGGGGGGAAGGGGGGGAAATCAGGATAATTACGCCTGACGGCCAATTCCGAAAAGAAGAAAATGCAGTTTAATTGACAGAATCGTCTACTGTAGTTCCCGGACAGGAAGAATCTACTTGTTGTTGAACAGGACGTAATTTAGATGCATCTCCAGTTGTACAGTAATGCAAAGCGAGAGGGGGGGAAAAGCAGGCAGGCGGCTGTGCAGCGTGCAAAGAGCTGTCCAGCGCCTTTGGTGCTGAAACCAGGGCTTGCTCTGTCCAGCCCTCTGCGAGGAACCCAGCAGCGGCAGAAGTGGCAGCAGCGGCAATAGCAGCCTGAGCTTTGGCAGCTACTTCCTCTGCTCATCGGATCATTTCAAACACTCGTGGTGTAAAGAGGCTTTTCTCATTCTCAAACCAGCTCTGACTTCCGTCCCGCATTTTTGGCGGTGAATGCTGGTATTTAAAATGCGGATTTCTCTGAAAAACCTACCTAAAAGATTACATTGGTTCGTCTAGGTGATATCAGATCTTCTCTGCTGCTGGTTAGGGGTATTTTCCCCCCTATAAAATTTCACCCTGGAAACGGGTGGCAGCGGCAGCGGCATCAGATGATTCCAACTCTTACTGCCTTTGCCTTAGCTCCAACGGAGGGGTGGGTTTCAGCACTGCTTACACTGCCACAGCCAAAGACACGAGTTTGCCCTCCAGACTTCACTCAGCCTAACTCGCCTCTGCGGCCCCTTTGATTTCTTCCCCTCCCCCTCTCTCTTTGACTTGGGGCAACAGCATCAGGATAACCCTAAATCAATGAGAAATCTGGAGTAATGATCCCATCTGCCAGGCTTGTGTGTGGGTAAGGGGCTGACTGAGGATGGGGAGAAAAGTCCCAGGATCAATTCATTTTCCCCCCATTAGATTTAGCCATTCAAAATGCTAAAGCATATGGTCTGTTTCCCACCCCAGCAGAACAATAAAAATGGTATCAACCTACGTTTTCTTCGTGCAGGGAAAAAAGAAAGAAAAAGAATCACCCCCTCCACCCCCAACTGAACCAACCTAAAGAGATCATTTCTATAGGAAAAAGAAAGAAAAAAAAGACATCTGTTTCACTAATTGACCCTAGTATCATTTCATGTGTCATATGTTGAATGAACCATTTGTTTTTACCCCTTAAGTCCAAGCATAGAAACTCTCTAGCCAGAAGCACCATTTATTGCAAATTTCTTTTTATTTCAACCCAAGTCCCCAAATGGGATAAACTAATCTTCAAAGAGGAAGAAGAGAAATAAATGTCTTGATAATAATTTGTTAATAACTTAGGATTCTATATCCTCTGTCTTTGAATGGCTCAAAATACTGAACTAAAATACATACGCAATATATTTCTGATAGGTTTCTACAAGCAACATCCCTAAAGCTCAGGGACAACTGTACTTCCAATGAGTTTCAAAATACAATAATTCATAATAGCTCATTTTGGCACCTTGCAACAACACTTCTACCTATGATGTGTGAGACAGAAGAATAGAGAGCGATTGTGGGATAATAGTTAAAAATACTCTCAAACACATCCAAATAGTTCTTTGCCTCAAGGATATAGGATTGCTGTACTTTTCATTAAGTTATAGTGATATGCCAACTTTTATCAAAAAAAGAAAAAGAAAGTTGTCCCATCAGTTCTAGCACTAATAAATTTCAATTCCACTGAAACTTAGTAGTAATTCAATATTTTAAATTAGTTTTTGGTCTCTTATCTAATTGTAACATATATCAAAGAAAGATAAACTTAAGAAAAAATGATATTTTAAAACATAAGATGCAATTATTCTTCTTGAAAGGAAACTTCATTACAATTCAGTCATCTAACCATCATAGTTTCAAAATGGTGTCTAAAGATTTTTCTTTCAATATTTTGTTATAATTAACAGATTTTAGCAAAGAAAACAAGGAGAAAGCCTTATGTGAAAGAAAAATATAAATATTTACAACCTGAAAACTCCTTTACTACAGACAAATATGATGCTTAATTATGCCTGAAAGATATGTTTAATTCAAGAATGTTCTTGAGATCTACAGATCATGTACATGTAAGTAGGTCCTTCAGAGCAGTACTCCTTAAACGACTGAGTAGGCCCTGACTAGGCAAATTAGAAAAGGAGGCTACATCTGTCTTTAGCTTCAGCTGACCTTGGCATACTGTGCCTTGTTTCCTCCTCTCATTTTCCTCTTCCTCTCCAAATACCCACCATTCAGTTCCTCAGTGTGGGTCTCATAGGCCTTCTTCCCAAGATACTGATTACATGTTCCAAAATGTCCTTCCCACCTCAAAACTCCCATTATTTCCTTGTCCTGATCAGAGAAACAAATTCATACCAAGATGTGAATGACTTATAACCCTTTCTAGAAGTCTATGCATTTAAAGAGAAAGAAATAGCCAAAAGAATGGTTCTTTATATTATATGCTTTCTAGTAAGAAGCTATATTAGTGAATATAATTATTTAAATTTTTTGAGAGTCTTAATTTCATTAAGAGCTATTTGTACTTTTTTGACATGGATAAATACATTTAGGTATATTTATATTAACCAATTTCCTCCTGTAGTATTTTTCTACTTTATGAATTTTTAAAATGAATAATTTTTGTGTGCTGTTGACTTCAAGGAGAACCAGTAACAGTAAATTGATGTGTAGTAATCCTAACATATGCTAAGATTGCTTCTAATCTTGTAAAGAGAAAGGGTATAATACACCAGAAGCACAATGCATAGTTTTCTCTTTGACTTTAAATGATATGCCTATGAATTATTCTTTCTCCCTTGATTCCCAGTGATTTATTTTTTATTAAATGACCTACTCTATATTACCTTATAATGAACTTTTTTGGCATAAAAGTGTATTTATGTGTGGGAGAATAACATAAGAACAACTGAACAATTATTAAGTACCTACTGTGTTCAGAGTACTGTTTTCAAGTGCAAAATACAGAATGAGAACCTAACCATAACCAACTAGCAGTAACATATTTCTTATTATTCAGGTTTTTTCTTAGCCCCGTGGTACTCTTTCAGTTTTCAAAAGTCGTTAAGCCTGTAAGAAATACTATGGGAGTATTAAAGTTTTCACTAACTTATATATGTTTCACATTCATTTTTTACACTCCTTTGTCATGTATCTATCTAATAATACCTCTTTTCTAGTTATCTTCAATTTTAGGTTCAAAGAATAAAGAATATACCTGATCTAATTAATCATTCAATCAATAAGTTCTGATTAAGCATCTTTTATATGTTAGGCACTAAAAATTCATAGAACTAAATCAAACATTCCCTACCCTCAAGGAGCTTACATTCTATTGGAAGAGACAAAATGCACATATGTAAATATAAATAACATACTGAAAGTATATGTTGTTTTCTCTATATTTTACATATTTGGTGATAATGGAAATCACTAGCAACTTCAGGTTGAGGAAAGGCCTTGTGTAGGAAACAGTATTTGAATGTACCTTTTTATAAAGAAACCAGGGATTCTAAGAGGTAGAAGTGAGAAGGGAAAGTATTTCCAGGCCTGAGGAACAACCTGAGCAAAGATATGGTGAAGAAGATAAAATTGTTTGAGTCCAAGAGTATATATTCTAAAATACACATTTTCATGTGAAGTCAAAGATAAAAATGATTTCAGTTTTATTTTAAATTTTTCATTAGGTCCACCTCCTGTTTTCCTTTTGGGTCATGCTCATTTCTTTACATTTTTTTTTACCATAGTCATTTCCCATTTCTGTAACTTTATTTATAATATATGACTGTATTCTATAATGTTAAAATTAACAGGGCAGATATTCTGTTCACTACAATGAAATATTATGTAATAAAACACTGATAATACAAATCTATAGTGACACATGTCAACACTGTTCAAAGGTTTCGTGATTTTAGCACTTCATATAGCAAGAAAACTGGAAGCTCCCTTGAAACAAGTCTTTTGTAGACAACCTGACCATTTTGCTTCTTCATCAGCCACTGTGTAAATTATTGATTAGGAGTAAGTTAAACACTTTGAGAGGGTCATTAAGTCTTAGGATATTAAAATTCCATTTATTCAGAAAAGAAGTTGCTTTTACACATGTAACAATAGTTTTACACATTTTGTCAACTGTTTTTATACATGAAGTCACAATTTAAAGCAAAATATGTGAACACCAGCATCCAGAAAAGATCAGTGAGCTTGCCAGGGACCTTGGGTCACTACAAGGAAGTGATTCACTCTAGGAGAATTTGGATAACTATATAATTCATATTTTAAGCAAAATACCAAAATGATGATCTGCCTCTTAGTGTGAACTGGTTTTACAACACAGAAACATTTATGTGGCATCATGTTTCAGCATGCTTTCAGTTCTCAGCATTCTTTAGGGTAGAGTTTCTTGTTTCCAAACCTTTGCCAAGACTGAAAGCACTATAATCTTGAACTATTGTAACCATACCATCTCACCAGAGATCGTCCATCACAACCTGATACATTTTATTCTGCTAGGAAGTGACATTCATCTTTGTGGTAAAGTTGCTTACTGCTTAAAAGGCTATTTTAATTAAAAAACAAAACAAAGAAACCTAAGTTTTGAAAATACAATGACAGGTAATAAGTATGTGTGTTATTAAAGAGATATATTTCAACTAAATATTTATGATAAATTAAAATTAATCTTCATTACTGACTTCCTTCTCCTTGTATTAGCAGAATTAACTTAATTACTGAAGACTTTAAAGATGGGCCAGTTGTCATCAATACAGACTTCCTATGTTCTAATTCTCATCCTGATGTAAGAGGGGCTCCACCGTATATCATGGCATTATTATTTGAGGTCCTTTTGTGGCTTTAAGAGATTTCTCTATTTTTTAAGTATAACTTGATTATGATCTAAAAAGCAATGTTAATTCAATTTAACTTTCCGTGGTGATTTTGTTCAATAGAGCAATGAAGCAAGGAGTATAGTCAACATAGACAATA